TCGTTGACGGGTTGTGGAGTAGGAAGGTGACAAAATCACTGACGGTGAGGAAGGAGGGGAAGAGACGTCCTCAGCGTCCTCGACATCAGTTTTGCCGTCCACGACAAGCACCGGCATCGTCACCAAAGTGGAATCCGGGGGAGGGGTACTTGGCATCCACGTTGATGCCGCCTTCCACATGTCTCGTAGAAGATCGCCTCGATTGTTATGATCACCTGGCTGCCAGTCGAGTCAAGCACCTCTTAGCCCTTGCTCAACAGCGGCACACCGAAGTGAAGACCCCAACGGACCTTTGGCGCCAGCTTGCTGCTGCTCGGGGACCATGAACCTGCACCAAGCAGCCCCACAAGCGTGCCACCGTAAGGTCGGGCTTATTGTCGGTCAGCAGCTGGTGCAGCGTTGTCCCCGTTAGCAGTGAGGCTTGTTCAATGCACTTGCACCCAAATGGCCTGACGCAGGGGGAGGCGCCATATGAAATAGCATCGTTTGCACAGCCTCGACCACCGTACGCATCTCCCGCTCAGCCATGTCGTTTTGCTGCTAAGTGTACGGGCAATTCAGGCCGTGGACAATCCCCTTGCCATCGACGAAGTCGGTAAACAACTTCCCCATAAATTGACCTCATGGTTAGAGCCGAGCACCACGACTTCTTGGCCTGCTGCTCCACGACCTTCTACCACTTCACGAACACGTCGAGCACGTCAGTCTTCTTGGTGACCGGCCGCACGCACACATAGCGCGTCATGCGATCCGCAGCAAAAAGAAGTAGAGGCTGCCTTCCTTGCCAGCCACCTGGAACAGCCAGCACAAGTCGACGTGGACAACGTCGAGCAGGTTCTTAGTGTCCAAACCGTTGCCGGTGAAGATGTGCCGGTGAGCCTCGCGTGTCCAAACCTTTACCGTGGCTTTGGACGACCTGGATTGCCTCGTCAAAGCCATGCACGTGGCTGACATCTCTGCCCGGCTTTATGTCGATGAAGGCCTCTTGCGTTCGCATAGGTGATGGGAGCAGACCCTATCGAGCAGCACCACCGCCAGGTTTATCTCCATAGAGGCAGCAACCACCTTGAAGTCCTCAACGGACTTTAGCACCGGTGAATTCGTTGTCTCCACCACGCCGACCATCAAGCACAAGGTCTCTCCATTGCCTTGTGTTTTCCACCGGAGAAGTCGGTATCTTTCGCCGACTACGTCTACTTCCGTGCCTGCTTCTTCTTACGCGGCCTGTTCTCCCGATGTTGATGGCCGCCGTCAGACGTCCCACAGCTTCACTTGTGGTGGTGGTCGTCGGACTCCTCGCGGTTGGGACAGTCGTAGGAGAGGTGGTCGAGGTCACCACAAACCCAACACTCACAACGTCCTTCTTGTCGACTGCCTCCACCGCGTTTGTTGTACCGAGCCGACTTTGTCAGGTCGGCACCTTTCACCGACTTTCCACCTCCACTACCACCCCCGCCCGACTTTCCACGTTGACACTGCCGACGTCCTTGTTTCGTTGGAGCGGTGTAGTTGGCTTGTAGAAAGAGCTTCATGGGCTGCTCTAACTATTGCATGAGCTCGTCGTTGATGATGTAGCTCAACAGCAAGTCCTCGTTGAGTGATTTATGCATCCAAAGAAGAGCTAGCATCTGGAGCATCAAGTTGTAGCCTATCAGGAGGCCCTTGATGACGTGGGTGATGTAAGACGTCACCAAATGGTCGATGTAAGCCATCCTCAAGTCGGTCAGGATTCGCAGAGCACGGTTGCAATACTCGGTCGCCGACTCTGTTCGCCCATCTGAATGTTGGTGAACCGCTGCTCTAGCTGGCCGACGTAAAGGTCGTCGGTCGCCTTGTAAGTGTGAAATAAATGACCAGGAATGAGAATGACTAAGTCAGGATTGGGTACAAATACAACCCTAGAAAGCTGTACCCCATATGTGCTACCCCACTATAGCCTACAAACATGCATCAGCTATAATAATCTGACACACCCCCATAGGCAAAGTGGGGGAGAACAAGGGGTCACAAGACCAGTCAAGCAAAGCAAAGCAAAGCAAGCTCAGGGTGGATCACAAAGTCACCACACAGTCCGAGCACAAGAGCAGGGCCAGAGGCCAGTTCACATGCAGGAGTACAGACATATATAGAAAACTAGACAAGCAGGAGCAGGTATATATATGTCACAGAACAAGTAAAGTCAAGAAGAGAGCAAGTGAGGCAAGACAGGCACAAGACCCAGCTGGGTGCAGAAGCGTTGATGGTCACAAGGCGCGAGTGCCTTGGTGAACACATCAGCAGTGTTGGTCTCAGAGGCCACGTACGCAAGTCGCAACTGACCACGCTGCTGCAGCTCACGAGCAAGGAAGTAGCGGAGAGCAATGTGCTTCGTTCTGTGCTCCAAGCGCTGCTCTCGACACAAGGCCAGCATGGCCTTGTTGTCTACGTACAGCACTGGAGGAGAACGAGGCGGCTCTCCAAGGTCAGTCAGTAGGTAGGTGAGCCAGCGAAGCTCCTGTGCAGCCATGGCCCCGGCGTAGATCTCAGCCTCACAACTGGAGCTGAGAACCGAAGACGAACGAGTAGACCGCCACGAGACAGAGCCGGAACCAAGACTGAAGGTGTAACCCTGTGACGACCGCTGCGTAGCCTGGTCGTCAGCCCAAGAAGCGTCCGCGTGGCCTGTAAGGACCACTGGACTCCGCCCTCCAAGCACTAGCCCCATGCCCGACGTACTGCACAGGTAGCGCAATACCCTCTTCGCTGCAGCCATGTGCTCTGGTCGGTGTCTCCCAGGAGCAACATAGCGTGCAAGAATGCTCAGAGGGTATGCACGGTCAGGTCGAGTGCAGGTCATCAGGTACATGAGGCAGCCAACAAGCTCTGGGTACGGGAAACTCGACTCTACGGACTCATCCGAAGGCAGAGCTGAGAGTGAGTGGCGAGTAGACAGAGGAGTGGCCTGAGGCGAGGAGTACGTGAAGCCGAAGCGCTGAAGGACCTGCTGCACCATGTGTGACTGAGTCAAGGTGATGGTGCGGCGTGCTCTGTCCCGAGTAATCTGCAAGCCAAGGTAGCTGCGCAGTTCACCCAGGTCTGTGCACGTGTGTCTCTTCAGTAGCTCGGACTTCACGTAGGCGAGTCCAGCAGTGTCCGCTGTGGCAAAGACCAAGTCGTCGACGTACACGAGGATGTAGAACGGCGGCTGTGAAGTGTCGGTGCGCAGAAACAGCGACGGGTCAGCAGTAGACGGAGCAAACCCAAGAGCCGCAAGCGTAGTCCTCAGTGTGTCGTGCCACTCACGCGGTGCCTGGCAGAGACCGTAGACTGGCCGTCGGAGGCTCCACTGGGTGCCAGGAGGGAAAGTCACAGTGAAGCCAGGTGGACGGCGCAGCCAGATCTCCTCGTGTAGGCTACCCTGCAGGAACGCAGTGCTGAAGTCGAGAGAGTGAAGCTCGTAGTCGTGCTGAGCGGCTATGTGAAGCAGCACCCGAAGAGTGGTCATCTTCGGGGTGGGAGAGAAGGTCTGAAAGTAGTCAACTCCCTGCCGCTGGCTGAAGCCACGAGCAACGTACCGCGCCTTGAAGACAGGTGGAGAGCCCGGCGGCCGCTTCACCCGGAAGATCCACATGCCACTGACGATGTTCGCCCCAGGAGGGGGAACTGCGTCAACGTAGGTGCCTGTGGACTTCCAGGAAGCCATCTCTGCATCCATAGCTGCATGCCACTGAGAGGAGTAGGGACCCTCTACGGCCTCCGCGTAAGAGCGCGGAGTCGGGATGTCTAGTGCATCCGGGTCTCCCTCAGGAGCAAGCAGTACAGACGCGAGATGAGGTGAAGCAGCAGCCAGACACTGTAACTCCTCCTGCCTGTCCTCTAGGACGTCCGTGCCAAGAGCACACTCACCCCTGACGGACGGAGGACAGACAGACTCAGACTCAGCAACAAGACTAGCAGCGTAGTCTAGACGACAGCGAGCAGCAAAGTCGACGAGCTCAGTGACAAGAGCAGACGCAGCAGTGGACTCAAACGAGGGGTCAGTGACGACAGTAGCAAGCACACGCGTGACAGTAGGACTGGCAGCACGAAGAGAGTCCGACTCAGGGTCGGCAAGCACAGGAAGAGAGGACTCAGAAGGAGAAGGCGAAGGGGCACGCAGAGGAGCAGTGGACGGACGCAGAGACATCCGGTGCGTGCCAGAGACAGGAGGAGGACGCTGACGCGAACCGCGACCACTAGCTCGAGCAGCACGAACAGGCGACGCGGGACGAGACGCAGGCTCACGACGCTCAGTAAGACCTCCAGTAGGACCAGTGTAAGGAGAGGGAGCAGGCAGAGGAGAGGAAGGCTCCAACAGTGACTGCGAGTGGACAGGCTGTGGACACTCTACCGGAGGAGAAAGACCAAGAACCTGCTGCAGGAGCGGAACGAAGTACGGCCGAGGCCGCGCGGCAGCTCCAGACTCAGCAGGGACAGCACCAGCACCCTCAGCGACAGCACCAGCGCCACCAACACCTCCAGTGGCAGGACCTCCAGCAGTACCAGCAGCATAACCACCGCGAGGACAGACAGCAGCGGTCTCAGCACCAACACCCTCAGCAGCTCCAGCTCCAAGAGGACCCGCAGGCCCAACAGCTCCGGGACCGGCAGCATCAGCACCCTCGACGGTCGAAGAAGCTCCAGCTCCAGCAGCACGCCTCCAGCGGCGAGCAAACCACTCGCGCAGCTCCTGTGGAGAGAGGGGCTCTCGTCGAGACGCAGCAGCAGGAGAAACCCCAGGCTCAGCACCCCCAGGCTCAGCAGCTCCCAACTCAGCACCCCCAGGCTCAGCAGCTCCACGCACAGCACCCCCCGGCTCAGCACCCTCCGCAGTAGTACCCCCAGGCCCAGCACCCCCAGGCTCAGCACCCCCAGTAGCAGCACCTCCAGGCCCGGCACCTCCGCGCACAGCACCCCCAGAGTCAGCACCCCCAGGCTCAGCACCCGCAGCAGCACCAGAGTCACCAGTAACATCGACCGGGTCAACTGCGTCTACCTGGGACACACCTGAGGGGGCAGGAACCTGAGGGGGGAGGGGGTCTACCGGGGGGGGAACCGGCACAAGGAAGTCCGGCGAAGGGGGGAGGGAAGGAGTGCGGTAGGGGAAGAGGCGGTAGAAGGGGACTGACTCGTCGAACGTGACGTCCTGGGAGGACAGAACACGACGAGAGGAGGGGTGGTAAAACTGCCACCCTGGAGCGTCAGTAGGGAAGCCAAGGAAGACACAGGGAGCAGCACGAGGGGATAGCTTGTCCGCAGACAAGTCGCGGACAAACGCCCGAGATCCCCAGACACGGAACGCCGACGCATCGCCAACCTTCCCCGTCCACAGCAAGACTGGGGACATCGCGGGCCGAGAGACCCTGGGGTGAAGGTTGAGCTGATGCGCCGCATACCTCACCGCAAACGGCCACAGAAAATGGGGGGCAGCCGCATGCATCATGGACGTACGAGCGACATCCATGACCATGCCAATGCAGCGCTCAGCAATCCCATTTTGCTGTGGAGAGTCTGGAAGCGTGAAGGTCTGGCGGATCCCCCGTGCACGACAGTAGTCTCGCAGAAGGCGCGAGGAGAACTCTCCGCCTCTGTCGGGGTGTAGACGCAGAACAGGAAAGTCCGAGCCAAAGCTCTTCCTGAGCTGGAGACGAGCCTCGCGGATCCAGTCGATCTGCACCTCAGTGACAGCACCCTTGCTGCGCAAGGGGAGGACTGTGGTGTAACGCGAGTAGTCCTCAACCACCAACAGAAAGTAGCGCTCGTGACCCTGCCCACGGATGGGGGCTGGGCCCCACACGTCCATGTGAAGCGTCTGCAGAGAGCCTCTGTCGGGGGGAACTGGGAGGAGTGAGGAGCAGCCCGGAGGCGACCCTCGACACAGGGGACACAGGAAGGTCCTGGCCTGGAGGGAAGGGGAGGGAGAGACTGGGGAAGACCAGAGACAAGGACACGGGAAGCCATGCTCCAAAGACGGGGCAAGGAGGGGTGGCCAAGACGGTGGTGCCAAAGGAGAGTCTCGTGAGACAGGAGGCGACAAGAACAGGGGGCAGACTCAGGACCTGACCGGGACGCAGCAGCAAGCACCTGACCTGACGCAGCCACCAGACCAGACGCAGGGACAGGAGGAGACTCAACGGTCAGGGTGTAGAGACTCGACCCCGGCCGACGCGAGAACGTGGCCAGGTGTCGGCCTGTGCGTGCCTCCGTGCAGTGGGTCACCCGCTGACTCGCAGGAGTGAACTGGTGAACCCCCACATCCTGCAGGTCCGCGCCACTCACCAAGTTCGTAGAGAACGAGGGAAGGTACAGACCAGACAGGGTGCCCGAAGGGGCAGCCGGACACGGGAGGACAGTGGAGAAGTGAGAGAGGACAGGACCCCCAGAGGGGTCAGCCAGGGAGACGGCAACCGGCCGGCCAAGCGGCGTAAGGGTGGTGCGGTCTCGAAAGAAGGAGCGAGAAGCCCCAGAGTCAAGTGTGAAAGTAAGGGAGGACGAGGGCGACGCAGTACCTGAGAGCGCAGTCTCACCAGTACCTGAGTGCGCAGACGTACTGGCACCTAGAGCAGCAGCCTCACAAGCACCTAGCGCAGCAGTACCAATGCCCGGGTCGGGCTGGAAACACCGGTAACCCTTAGTCTCCTCACTAATAGTCACAGCATACATAGCAGCAAGGATAGCATCAAAGTCAAGATCAAAGATCGCTACACCAGCCCTAAGAAGCTCATCCCAGCGAGGGATCTCACTAGCCCCGGGGAACTTCTGACGCCAAGCGTCCGTGAGGCGGCCAAAACAGCGCTGAGTGGGGTGGGCACCCCCACACTGCTCACCCGCGCGGTCGCCGGAACGAAGGACGTAGGTGCAAGGACCAGTACCCCCACCCCTCTGACGTTGAGTGTACCACTCACGAAGCTGCATAGGCGGAGGGATGTCCCGCGAACGCTGCTGCTGCTGCTATTGCGAGCGCTGGCCACCACCACCGCCGCTCCGCTGCTGGGTACCACCCCGACCAGCTCCACCCCCTCCACCACCACCGCCTCCTCCGCTGCCTCCTCCGCCGCCTCCACCTCCGCCGCTGCCACCACCACCACCGCTGCCACCACCACCGCCGCCTCCGCCGCTGCTGCCACCACCACCACCACCCCCGCCACCACTCTTGCCGCCACCCCCACTCCCTCCGCCGCCTCCGCCGCCACCGCCACCGCCCCCTCCAGCTCCACCCGCATCCTTGCCCCCCTTGCCCTTGCAAGAGCGACGTCTCCCACTAGGGGCAGACGCCGCGCCGACCGACTCAAGACCAAGCAGGTCGGCAGCAGCAGCAGAGGCAACAGAGGGCAGCAAGGGGGAAGGAGAGCACCCCTCAAAGATGGGGGTGCGAGGGTCTCCACGAGAAGCTCCTACAGCGACTATGCTCTTCTTCGCTGCTTGGAGGGCCTTCTCGAGGACGTCGACGGTGAGGGTGGTGGGACAGACTGCGAGAAAGTGGTCCCTGACTACGCGAAGGGAGTCAGGGAGGCGTGCGACTACGTAGTAGAGAGTGATGTACATGGGGGGGGGGGGGGGTTCTTAGCGCAGAACTCAGCAGGAAGGGCGGCGCGGTAGCGAGTGTCACTAGTGCGGAGGTGCGTAATGAGGTCAGCGACAGTGGGAAAGGCAGAGAGGTCACGAAAGAGGTAGGGAAGCATGAGACGGCTCAGTGCAGCAGTGGCAGGGGAGGAGTAGCGCGCAACTACAGCGTCGTACAAGGTCTGAGCACTCTTGTAGTGACTAAAGTGTGCGCGCTCAGAGGTAGGGAGGTGGCGACGCACAGCAAGACGTGCAGCAGCATCGCGGGTGGCCCACTGAGAGCGCACAGTGGGATCAGCATCAGCAGCAGGAGCAGGAGAGGCGCCAGAGGTAAGGTCAAAGAGGGAGAGGCCGTCTGCCCTATCGCACTGTAAAAACAACTGCAGGTCGTCTACCCAGACCTCAAAGTCAATGGCGCGACCCTCAGCGTCAAAAGCTAGGACACTAGGGGTAGCCATGACGACGACAGCGAAGTAGTGCAAGCAGTAGGGGAAGAGCACGCACTGACAGTGGGACTGTGCTCACCAGGCACGGCAGGCCGGAGAACTCTGCAGAAGGGCGGCTCGGCGACTCAGCGACTCGGCTGCTGGGCGGCTCGGCTCCCGGGCGGCTCGGCGGCAGGGCGGCTCTGGTTCAGGGCGGCTCGGCTCCCGGGCGGCTCGGCGGCAGGGCGGCTCGAGTGTAGGGCGGCTCGGCTCCCGGGCGGCTCAGCGGCAGGGCGGCTCGGGTGCGGGGCGGCTCGGCTGCACTGCTGCTCGGCTGCTGCAGGTAGGGTGGCGGGGCCGCGAGATCAGGGGCAGCGGGGCCGAAGGAGCAGGGCCGGCAGGTGCAGCGGCGGGAACGGCGGGGCCGCGGCTGGTGGAGCGGCGGAGCCGGCAGAGAGGGCGGCGGAGCCGCGGCTGAGCAGGCGGCGGGGCCGGCGGCGTAGCGGGCGGCGGGGCCGCGGCGAAGTCGGCGGCTGGGCCGCGTCGTAGTGGGCGGCGGGGCCGCGTCAGAGCAGGCGGCGGGGCCGCGTCAGATCAGGCGGCGGGGCCGCGTCAGATCAGGCGGCGGGGCCGCGTCAGATCAGGCGGCGGGGCCGCGTCAGAGGCGGCGGCGGGGCCGCGTCAGATCAGGCGGCGGGGCCGCGTCAGAGGTGGCGGCGGGGCCGCGTTAGATCACGCAGCAGGGCCGCGTCAGAGGTGGCGGCGAGGCCGCGTAAGAGGTGGCGGCGGGGCCGCGTCAGAGCAGGCGGCGGGGCCGCGTCGTAGCGGGCGGCGGGGCTGCGATCGGGCGGCGGGGCCGCGACGTGGCGGCGGGGCCGGGATCGGGTGGCGGGGCCACGTCGGAGGGACGGCGGGGCCACGAGGGAAAGGGCGACTCGAGGGGTCGCTAAAAAAATGCGCGCCTCGGGGCGCGCTTCGGTGGGCCCTAGGCAACGTTCCCACAGGGAACTCGCTCTATACCATGTGAAATAAATGACCAGGAATGAGAATGACTAAGTCAGGGTTGGGTACAAATACAACCCTAGAAAGCTGTACCCCATATGTGCTACCCCACTATAGCCTACAAACATGCATCAGCTATAATAATCTGACAGTAAGTCGTAATACGCCAGGCTTGATGGCTGACGTCCACCCGTAGTCGACAATGCTTCAGTGCGGCTTGCACCAGTGGCGAGCACCACTGCAAGATGACCATAAAAGTTAGTAGATGAGCAGCCCGGAACTCCGCCCCGGGCTTGACATCAACCTCGTCTGGTGTCTCCACGTTGCCATCGGCGAACGCCTTTAGACCGACGATCTTCAGGTGCGACTTAGTGGAATCCGTCCATATGATGAGGTCATGTCAACCTCCGAGTAGCTTGGGTACGGCGATCTTGTCCGGCGAGAATTTGAAGTTGTCATGCACCGGCGCGATGTCCTCATCTCGGCCGCCCGACACATGGGTCGCCAAAGCCGACCTGACTCCACTTCGCTGTGGAGAACGACATCGACCTCCGACGTCGCCTTCACAGCTGCCTGCAGTCACCATCAACCCCAGCTCTCATGCTTGCATCCCGCCGACGCTGGCGTCGGTGACCCGAATCAATCCACACGTCAGCGTCTTGCTTGCGTGGCTGACTTGGTTGTTGCCGCCTTCGTTGTGCACGGGCCGAGGAGAAGAGGGCATACTGTTCGCTTCAGGTCAGGGAGGTTGATCGCGTGCCCACTACGCACGAGTGGCTAGGAGCATCGCGGCATTGCCGAACATCAGCCTCTCTTGCCTGCAGGATATCCGCTACACCTGCATTGGCCTCGTGGCCTACCATGGCGACTAAAATGGCTGCCGACCTATTAACGACTTAGGTAAGCAATTAGTTGGCTACTATCTGAAGGCATCTCACAGGGCCGACCACACTCACCGCACCATACGGAGAGTCACTATACCCCGGGAGCTTGACTACGGGGAAGGCACGGTTGGTAGGAGTGATCGTAGCTTTGCTCATGTTCTTACTACTTGAGTGTTCACGGAGAAAGTAGACAACGGATTCCCTAGCCAAAATGGATTGCAGAATTATGCAAAAGGAATGACTACAATGACTACATCAAAGGCCTAGCATACAGACAGGTCGACCTCTAGTGCAGTACAGGGGCGGCCTGCCAACACTACAGGTAGACACCTTGAAAACACAGCCGGGAGTTGACGACCTGTAAGCGTTGCACCAACACAGGTGACTAGATGCGCATGCGCGCCCGCGTAGGTCGACGGTCGAGCACGTTGTGCCTAACGCAAAACTTTGTCGACTAGGTAACTAAGCTAACCAGGAAATTTCCGTTGCGCCCACGACGAACACCTTCGTCGACCGTTCAGGTCAAAGTCAGCGCCCCTAGGTCGACGAACCCCTTCGTCGACCACCTAGGTCAAATTGGGCCGCTGGCTTGACCTTATCAGCGACTTGACAATGGTGCCGATGATGTGGTGAAGTCTGTCGACTTCCTCAGCGTCGACTACTGACTGCAGCCGGCTGTATCTCCCGCACCCCCCTTGCGAAGTCGGCTTCGTCCAAGCGAGGGCGGTGCCCCTTGCCTTGGTTCTGCATGCTTGCGTCCCTCCTGGGGCGCACATTTTATAGTCCACATATCATGTTAGGACTTAACCGTCACCACTACTATCGGCGGTGATTGAAAACGAGCATAACGAAGCTGCAGCAGACTACATATGTGTGGGGCATTGATGGCAGACTCTCCTTGCCAGTTCATGGGGCACCTTCCACCCCTAATGGGTCTCGCGTTGCACTGGTGCAGAAACTACCATGCCATGAAGAGTTTCTCGTGGGATATCTGTGGCCATCACGCTCTTGAATGTATAGAATTCACAATACCACAAGCTCACTTTGTTGGCCGAAGATGGACTCTTGCGAAACAATCCGGACGAAGTTTGCGTGGGGCTGTGGTTCAAGGCAAACCCAAACTAGGACATTAAAAAACAAAATAGTGAACCTTGCCGAATCTGCTGGGCAGACCCTTTTCTAGTCGATCCGGACCAGACAGGCCAGCCAAAATTTGAGGTCCGGCCTGGGAAAACTTGAACCATTTCGGTCCATGTCGAACCAAGCTTGCACGTCTGCTCATGCCTCGTGGTGATGGCGAGCGCCCTTCTCACATGCTCGGGTGTTGTTAGTAGGACCTGAATTGTGTGTTTGAGGGGTCTTGGATGGCTAGCCATGGCCTGCTCTGCTGCGTGATTTTATATGTCACATGTGCATACACATCGTTGTGATTGGCTTGTGATTGTCACATCGAGCATCGGCATTGGCAGATTGCCAATACTAGCCATAGGAGGAGTGCGAATTTGCAGAGGACACATAGAAAATGAGCACTGAAGAATAGCTCCAGTGCAAAAAAGCTCGAAAATGAAGAGGAGGAAGGACTTATTTCTATTTTATGTCACAAATTGGTCTGGTTCTGCCCGTGAGGAAGTGTGCTGTGATATTATTAGTACCCGGCCTAGAACAAATTAACCAGGATCCAGACCTGGTAAAAATGGCTGGCTCACACCAAGTAGATAATCATGCACGTCAGCCAGTTCACTGCCTTTGAGTGACCCCACAGCAAGAACTCATGATGCTGAAATTATGCAGGTCATATTTAACGCAGTGTTTTGTCAACTTTAAAGCTGCTTTTTAGCTCCAACCTCTTTCACATTTAGCACTTGAGAATCATGGTGAGAAGGGAAGGTGGCACTTGTTTGCAGCACCGACAAAACATCATTTCTTGCTTGTAGCACCGATAGAACAGCTATTCTAGGTGTCTCTGTAACTCGTAAATATGATCAGATGGGTTCACAAGCCATTCATGCCCGTCATAGGCACTCTCAAATGCACACAACTGTTTCACACATTGGTGCATGGAAAAACTCCTTTTCTCACATTAGTGGGCAAGTTGCACAAGCTTCATCGCCAAGGTTGCTGGTTGTCAAAACTCATTTTTTTGTGTGGTTGCTAGATTGAGTTGGACATGTAAGAAGGACATGTTGTGGGGTTCACCAAAGGAGGTTGTCAGTTAGGATGAGAGGGGGACAGTCGGATGAATGGTTCAAGAAGCAAGTGAGGAACGAAGAACCACACAGACAAAACATCAAGGGATTGCATGGTCAGCAAAAGCTAACTTGCCAAAATGCATCAGGGGATTGTAAGTACAGAGCATGCAAAATGGTGGAGCGGGAGAGAACATAGAGATATCCACGTCAAGGACAGTAAGATTTGGTGCGCACATGACGGATGCAAGACCAGAAGGACTTGGTGCTCTCACATGTCAGTCACCATGCCGTTGGCATCGCATTTCAAACTGTAGGCCAAGCTGCAGGTCCCACCAGCTACCCATCCAGAGAAATTCTGCCCCCATGCCTACTGCAATCTTAGCAAGACTTGAACTGGAAAGGAAAAATATTCTCTCATTGCCTGCGTGTCGCTCCTCCTTCCTCACTCATCAGCCTGTGCCGCACGGCTGCAGAATGGACACATGACATTGTGAAGTACCCATTAACCGTCACTTGGAGATTGAAACTACAACACCGATAAACATTATGCACATGGGAGCACGGTCATACTGTGGTCAATGATTTATCCGCTCAAAATGAGCCATTGATGATAGGAGGTGTAAACAGAGGAGGAGTTCAAATAGGAGGTAGGTATTGGTGGGAGGTCTGCAAGCTTGAGCTCCATTGGGCACAGTAAGTGATTGTACCACTTCTACAAATACTCGTGGAATGACATCGTAAATTACCCTTCCCTTTAGTGCATGCACCAATCCACCCACACATCAAATCTCCTCCTCTATGCCTGCCTGTCAGAACTCCAGCCAGCAAGAGCTACAACGGCTGCAAGCAGGGAGGAGAGGACCCACTAACAGGAGACAGAAATGGGGGGAGAAACACCCTACTCCAGAGGAAGTGGGGAAGGGACGAAGAGATGAATCACTTCGCTCATCAACTACGT